TTTTTATGCTTTGGTTTTTCAGGGGGAGTTTTTGGCAAATTGAAAAGCTGTGTACGCTCAGCTCTAAGGTCAAGAAAGACTTGGGTGTCGTGCACTTTGGAGCCGACAGAGCCGAGGCAGTCGGGTGCAGGTGAGTCGTTTGTGCACAGTTGTTGCAAAAGCTTTGAGGAAGAGACAAATCCTGCTGAAGAGGAGGTGTGTGCCAGTTTGAGCCTGTATAATCACACAGCTTCACTTCCAGAACCAGGAGTGTGCTGGAAACCAACTCTATCTCCTCCTGGAAATACATTACAGCAGTCCTGCTCCAAGATTCCTTCCAGCAGCCGCACATCCATCAAACAGCCATCTGCTGACACACTACAACATTATTGTGTGAATGTTTGTGAAGCATTCACACTATTGTGATCCATTTTTCTTCTGTACGTTTTTCGGCATTTGTTCCACAATTTTTGTGCTATTTGGACAAATCATATATCAAAACGTTCAGCTCGTTTAGAAGAAGGGTGATGTGACTTTTGGTATTGGTGCAACTTTAGCTTTTTGAAATATTTAGACTTTTCTGCCAATTTTTTTCCTCCCAGGAAATTAATTGAGCTCATTTTACATCTTTCAGATCTTTAGATCTGTTTACAACCTTTTACTGCTCCTTTCACATTTTGTTCTGCTTCAGCTTCTTTCAGCTTCCTTGAGAAAATTTTAAACTTTTTTTCAGCTACTTTCAGCTGGGTTTTTTTCAGCTGTTTTGTGCTCCTTTCAGTTACTTTCTGCTAACTACAACATTTTTGGCTTCTTCTAACTTCTTCCAGCTTGTTATGCTCCTGTAAGCTTATTTCTGCAATTTTCAGCTACAGTATTTCTGCTATTTCAGCTACTTTTTAGGTGCTTTATGCTAATTTGAGCTTTGTCAGCTAACTCAATATTTTTTGCACTCATTTCAACAGTTTTCAGGCTATTTCAGCAAAAATTCACTCTCTAATTCCTTCTGGTAATTTAAGCTTCTTTCTGCTGTTTTAGCTACCTTTCAGATGAGTTTTTTGTGTGTGCTAATTTCAACTTTTTCAGATAATTTCCAGTTTTTTGTGCTAATGTCTGCTTCTTTTAGCCTAATTAAGAAAACATGTTCTTTCTGCTTTCTTCTGCTAATTTAAGCTTGTTCTGCCTTTTCAGCATATTTTAGCTAATTTCAGCTGTTTTCAGATAAATTCAAGTTTTTCACGGTAATGTCTGCTTTCAACCTTTTCTGCTACGTGCTATGCTCCTTTCAGCTTTTTTTTTTTTTTAAACCAGTTTCAGCTTTTTCTGCTATTTGGTATGGTATAAAGTTTATTAATTTTAAAAAACAAAACAATTCCATAAACTATTTTAAAAAAATACAAGAGATTTAAAATGAAAGGCAGCAGAAAGAAGAAAAAAATTTATTATATCTGCCCCTTTTTTCAAACAATTTGTTCATTGATAATAATCTTCAAGTAACAGAACAAAACGAACAACTCTTTCTAATTGTTCTAACTCTAATACAAAACACACTAAGCTACTTGATATATATATATATATATATATATATATATATATATATATATATA